AAAATTCAACCTGACCCTATGGGCTTTTATGCACGACTGCAGCTGTTAATATTATTCTTGATATCGTGATTGCATTTTGTATGAATTCTCTGCTTGCTACTATTTAGGAAATGGAGTGAATTGTTGAGTCTATCTACTACTTTCCGGTCACATGACTAACCTTGCAATTTTCTTTGGAAGGTTTCAGATAAAGAGCCTACGGGCAGCTTATAGAATGATATTTATGCCCATTGATGAAAACTCTGGAAGTATTGAAGACCGTCTAACTAAATTGGTATAAAATGGCTAAAATGCCGTTTCTTTATCTATAGTTTGGGATTAGATCCCTGTTAAAAATATTTCCGAAAATATCAACTTTTCAGGAGCAGCATGAGGAATTGTCTCTAGTTCCAGCTGTTTGTTCTATGGTACAATCTATTCAAGATTCCTTTGCAGAAGATCGTCGTGGAATTTGCAAATTCAGATCTTGGTGGGGATCATGACACATGTCAGGTGTCTAATTGTATGTTTTCTACTCGCACATGGAATTTTTTTTTTACCGTGGCCTGAAACTAGTCATTTTTACTTCAAATGATAATTAAGCATTTTGATTTGCAGTTCAGAAGTTGTTTCCTTTGGGTTTTCAAGCCATCGGTAGTTTTTACATTTTACTAACGTGTTCTCTCTTGGTGCTTTGGCTGACAGAAGTTCCCTGATGCACTTGTAGGTCTTCTCCAGAAATTATACTGTGTAATGGTGCAACCTTGTTTTTATTGGGTAAAATATTAAAATCTTTTGTGGATGGCTTTTCTTGTATTATTTGATGATTAAGTTGTTGGAATACTCAAATCCACACGTCAAGAACTGCAACAAGTACAGAGATTGAGGACTGTGATTTTAGCCTGGAGTAAATGAGTTTATGCTGCGGCAGTTACTAGAAAGCATGAACATTTAGCAGTTTGAATTCATCTCGACTTTAACTGACTTTGATGTGCTTGAATGGATCAATCTCGTTTGACTGGATATACCTTGTAATGATCTTATAATATTGGTTGGCTTCCATTATTTAAGCCTTTCCAATTTCATGTGAGGTTTAAAATAACACGGAAATATAACTAGTGAAATTATTTCTTCTTTGACTTTTCGAATCTGAAGAAGGTGATCAGGATAGGAGAATGGGGGAAGAAACAGAAGGATAAATCAGGGGAGAAGAGGGGAAGAGAGCGAAAGTGGCTGCAAGCCAAAAACTCAATTCATTTTTCTTTATTCATCGTCTAATCTAACTACAATGAAAAAAGAGAAAATTACCTAATACCCTACTATTCAAGATTACAATTCAAAAATAAGTGTGTGGCGACCGAGAAATTTTAAATATTATAAAATTATTTTTCTTGAGAAATGTGTCGCTAAGTTTTAGCCTCGAAATTTAAAATGAAAGCGTGTTCGTCTAGTCGTTATAAAATCAATTTAAATTTATTCAAATCAAGTTCAATTTCAATTCTCGATTCCTTATCATTCTTAAATCCCAATTTTAATAGATTTAAGTTTTAATATTTTATTATCTAAAGTCCAAACTTCTGTTAGTCAAAGTCTTGATTATTTAGGTCCAATTCACCTAAACCCAATTTGAAAACCCCTACAGTCCAAATGCTTGGCCCAACTATTTGGCCCAATTGGTTACCTAGGGATTTGTGCCCTAAAATTCACTATTTTATTTACCGTCATTTCCCTTTACTTCTCACATTCACGTAGCCAAACCACTGGGTAAGAAACTCTCCCTCAAACTTTGCTTCAATACAGTTTCACTTTGGAAACTCTCGATGATGCTAGAACATCCATTTCCAGCATCATCAACATGATGATTGCACAAAAATTCACATGCCTCAAAACAGCCAAATCCCCATCCACCAAAGTCGGTTGCAACAATTGCAATAGGGTTCACCTTCCACCTCACCGTTTTCACACAACTCGACACTAATCACCCAAACCTAGCTGCAAACACCCATTTTATCGAAACACTAAATGCAAACCCAGCACAAACGAAGCTGCCACCCACTCAACAACCACTTGCAACGCCAACTACAACCCTGCACCGAACAACCCCTATTTCATCAAAAATCGACAGCCCTATTTCACCCAAATTCCACCTCAAACAGCTCCAAGAAACAAGAAACAAGAGGACCAAGAACTTACCTTATACCCCAACCTTTTTAGCTTGATTTCCACCAAGAGTTCGAACCTCCAAGCCTCGGTTAACTCCCAATTCGTGCACCAAAACCCCACAGCCTCTTACGAAGCACCGGCGCCACCACCCGACGGTGGCGCCGACGCAGCCTTGCTGGCTGACGGTTATTGCCGTCGGTGGCCCCCTCTTCTCCCTTTTCTCCGTCGAAATGAGAGAGAAATGGACTGAGAAATGATTTTTGTTATATTTTGATTTTGGAAATTTAACCCTAAGCCCTAAAGTTTTAAAAGTATTCAGTTTAGTCCCTAGAGTTTCGTTTTTAATA